ACGTGCTTATCATCTAAACATCGGAATGTATCACTTAAACCACGGATTTATCATCTAAACCTCTGAATTTATCACCTAAATCACAGATTTATCATCTAAACCTCGGAATTTATCACCTAAATCACGTATTTATCATCTAAACCTCGGAATTTATCATCTAAATCACGGATCTATCATCTAAACCTCGGAATGTATCACCTAAATCATGGATTTATCATCTAAACCTCGGAATTTATCACATAAATCACGTATTTATCATCTAAACCTCGAAATGTATCACCTAAACCAGGGATTTATTGTCTAAATCTCGGAATTTATCACCTAAACCAAGGATTTATCACCTAAACCAAGGATTTATCATCTAAACCTCGGAATTTATCACCTAAATCACGTATTTATCATCTAAACCTCGGAATATATCACCTAAATCACGGATCTATCATCTAAACCAAGGAGTTTCTCACCTTGGAGTCTTTTACCCTAACCATTGATTTTATACTTGTTCCACTACTTTTAATGAAAATTTTCAAGAACAGGAAAACATAAACCAAAAGCATAATCTTTAATGAAAAGGAAAAAATATTCAATCAAAGGTCGATTGAGGTCTTTATGGCTGAAAGAATATTTTTGTTTGTTCTAAGGGAGCAGAGCGAGTAGGGTCAATATAATCTTTTTAGAACTGTTGAGAAAGTTCACTGTAATACAAAACTGAGATTAAAAACGCAGCATCTTGTGCAAAGAAAAGATATTGCGTAGAGAAGCTTTATTTATGTACTTTGGATGTCCCAAAAAATGGTATATTACTACCAATTGAAGAATCATAGCTGGGAACTTTTGAATGGTGAATATCAGGATTAACGCTTAATCCTCTCTTTTTGCTAATCTCGAGACTAACATAATCTCCAGATTATGTTAGTCTCGAGATTAAGTATTTAGATCAACAAATTTGATTCTAGGAACGCCAGATTTGTTCGTTTTCTTAACTGTTAGGGCCTTCACGTAATTTCTCACCCATTTGTTAATTAATACATTAGTTAAAATTGTTTAAACTAGAATCTCAAACATATTATTGAATCTTTTTCTTCACCGATTAATTTACCAAAATGGCCGACGACAAATGCTTTATTTGTTAAAATTGCAGATTTCTCTCATGGAATAGAATTTATTTTCAAGGCTGTCATTGGTCAATGCAATTTACGAACTATATTTCTACACTCTCATTGGAGAAAACAATGTAAGGATATCTAAAGAGAGAGAAAAAGAGTGGATTAAGGACTAAAATAAAAAGTTTCCACATTGGATATTCAGATTAAGTAGTTGGGATTAAAGGTTATTCATTCTAAAGTTCCCAGCTCAGATCAGATTTAAAAAAACGGTCAAAATAAGTCAATTACTTACTGTGTTGGTAAAAAAACCAGCTGGTGACCAACTTTAAAATAACAAAAATCCCCTTTAAAAAAAATTTACAATGAACTCAATAATTATCCAAAATAAATTAGGTTTTTAATAAAAATAGTGATGACTGATAATTTTTAGACAAATAACATATTAATTGGTTTTCTCAACTAAGGTAAATAAACGAAAAAAAAATATTTTCCTGATCTTAATTATAGCTTTTTTAGATTATAGCATATTCTTTCACTAAATCGCACACCAAAATGCGAGATTTTATATAAGCAATGATTTTTTTCTTAGTGTTCCTAAACTTTTTTGGAGTAGATTATCGTCTGCGAGTATATACCTAAATAAATAAAACAAAAAAATTAATTTCAGGATCTTAATTATAGCTTTTTTAGATTCTAGCATATTCTTTCACTAAATCGCACACCAAAATGCAAGATTTTATATAAGCAATGATTTTTTCTTGGTGTTCCAAAACTTTTTTCGAGTTGTCAGCGAGTATATGCCAAATAAATTTAGGTATATATTTAGGAAAAGTCAAGAAATTACAGTTCTCTTACCCTTTATAGTTTTATATAACACCCCCCCCCCCTTCAGCAGGGATTGGGTTTATTCTACCGAAGGTCCAGTAATACTCTGTAAGAGTAAGACGACCCCTTGGAATGGGATCGGGCCCCAGTGGGGGATCCCGCACTCATCCCCCCTCCTCCTTCAAATCTTGATGATCTTGGTCCAATGTTTTATGATGATTGATGTATGGATGTTGGGAAGGGATTGGGATTGAGGGGTGCGTGATCTGTCTAGAAGGCAGGTACTCTCCCAGTGAATGGGATTGGGCCCCAGTGGGGTATCACCAAGGGGTGTAATCTGTCGTCTTTGTAATAAGGACAGAGATCAGGGACAGAAGGGAATCGGTGTTAGGTATAGATCATGTAGTGACATACAGTACAAAGGAAAATACGGGTTGCGGCATCTGTTTATATACAGTGTACACAGCTCTGGGGTGTGTAAACAGTAGACAGTAAATTTTGAGCATCATGCGATACTGTTCTGTGGTTAACTGCACCACAAATGGTTCTCATGAATTGATATGAGAATCCACACTGTTCTTGAAGAATGGAAATCTTTGAGCTGTTAGAAAAATATTCCAACTTTTATCTGCTCTCGTCATTTTACTCAAAACTCTCACGGCAAATCAAAGAAGAAATTAAAAAAATCCGCTAAACCCACAGTGTTTTTAATTGCCAACACAGATCCTGGCAGAACATAACTATGCATTCCCTGATAATAAAGTGTTAAAGAGAAGGTAATAAAATGTTGACATATACCAGATTATAGTTGCTGAGATAGCGGAATCCAAGATCCAAGATGCAAAGATGAAAGACAAATTATTTTGTGCCAGACAGATATTAAACCGAATCTGTCTCAAAACTGTGTCTAATCTGAATGACAGAACACCCTGACATCTTTAAGAAGGCTGATCATGGAGAACTACATAAATATTCCTTGCTTAGAGAAACTGCACTACTGAACACAGTCCTACGGCTGAAACATCTTGCCAAGAAGAAGAACTTTGATTTAAAAAAGTCAAAAATTAGAAAAAAGTTAAACAAACTTGTTCTTTTTGACAACCAATAAGTTTGTTCATGGTGATCATTATTTTGTTTAATAGATTTTTTAATACATTTCTTTATAAAACCATGTAAATTTTATTCACGAGAGAACAAAAAAAATCAAAAAGAGTGACGTCCTTATTTGTTTTGTTGTGAGACAACATCTGAGAACTTTTGAATCAACAAAATAAGTTAAAACCTTCCTCTCAGATCTCTGATTTAAATTTAAACTGCAAAATTACTCAAATATCTTTCGTGAATTTTCGGGATTTGTTTGAAAAAGATTGTATTTAAGACAGATTTGAACTTATTTCGCCAATTCAAAAGTTTTTAACTTTAACACTGAAAGTGACGTATCTTGCTGGGAACCATGCTTTTTAGTCCAAAAATTACAATTTAAATACTTCCAACTTATGCCATGAGATTTAACATATAATTACTAATTGACTTTTTGACAAAATAATTATTTTGGCATATGTCGAAAAACCAATATAAGGTTAAGAAATTTAAAATAAAATACATCAACAACATTTTTAGCATACAAGATAGGGCCGAACCGGGGGGGGGACCGCACCCCATGTGCCCCCCTCTTGTAGTATGAAATGGAGGGAGGACTCGCACGCTTGGCTGCGTTAATAATTCTCAGTATTCTCGAACCCGTTTTTATATCAAAAGAGCCATTTTGGATGTTTTGCGTCATGTTTTTCATATTGCTAAATATGCTTAATATTTTTTGAATATTTGAACTTTGCACAAGGAGTTAGAAAAACGACTTGACAAATGTACATTGATTGGTTTCTGCATTTATATTCATGCTTAAAAAGACGTCTACAAAAATCCCCCTCTTCTTTAAATGTACATGTTAACCTTTATGTTCAATTATAAGGGTTCTGTACAAACTGTCCATCAGCATTCTATACTCTACCCTTTCTCCGGGTATCACGCATTTATACCCCCCTCCCCCTTGTAATATGGGGTAAATGTTGATCTTGATCCAATATTTTGTGATGATTATTTTATGGATGTTTTGAGGGGATTGGGGTTGAGGGGTGCATGATACACCGAGAAGGCAGATACTCTCCCAGTGAATGGGAATGGGCCCCAGTGGTGGATTACGCACTCATTCCCCCCTCCCCCCTACTTAATTTCTTTATCGGAGTTGCCGTTTACTTTGAGCCCAAGATCTTACTTAAAATCAAATATATTAATTACTCTCTGTTTACGTTATGAATCCCTATCTGTCTCCATGCCCAACCTTCGATTCATGCTGCACTGATTTTCTCTTTAGTTCTTTTTGTGTATGTTTTTTTTAAAATGTTAAATTTCAATTAAAGAATTTGGTTAACAGGGGGGCTCAGCTAAAACAGTCCCAGGCTATTGAGTCCGCCTGCTCAGGAAAATAATATTTTACATATTGTGATTTTTAAAAATTAAATTCATAAATATTGTTTTTTTTTCTGCAGAAATGAATGATTTGATTTGATTTGGCATTTAAACAATCTTATGCTTTTTTAATGTTGTATAGTTTTATCAACTTATAAAATGTAATGGGTCTGTGTACACTGCGCAATTTCTGTGTTTCATGTTCAGCCTACATTTGTTACATAAAACGTTCTGGGTCTACATGAGGAAATGTGTTGTTATGTGGAGAAGCAAGATGTCATGGCAGAAAATTTGATGATTTTAATAACACAAAATTACGTCTTAGGTGATAATTGTGAAACTATCAACATTTTAACTATGGTAAAAACAACGCCCAAAGTGTTTAACAAAATAAAATGTTTAATTGCTGCTAATGCCTAAGATAATTAGAATTGTAAATTTGAGAAGTATTTTTTTCTTTGTCAAATAATATATTCCTTCTCCAATGGATGGCCTCTAACTAACATCATAATTTGAGTCCAACGGTGGTTTTTCAATATTCCACACTTTCATTTGTCCTCTATATTTAAAATATTGTTCATACTCCGAAAATACGCATCAGTATATACAAATGCATTAAACAAATTTTATTAAACTATTTTGAGATTAGCATATAGTGTATAATGTGCAGTACTAGTTAATTCATTTTACATTCATGATTTTTGGAATTAAGTTCAATCAACAGGCACGTAGGAACCAGTTCATATCAAATCCAGACATTCCTCCAAGAGCGACTAGAATAAGGATGGGTAATTTCTTTTTTTTTGATAAAAAAATTTCAATTAATAAGATATTTTAAATATGATAATCCTATCAAAGTACACAATAACACAATAAAATGCTTTTCTTGACGCATTTATTCTTAAATTGTTCGTAAAACAAATTTTTTCTAGGATGTCCGGGGCGTATCGCATTCCTTTTTTAGAAACAATTCTAGTATTTAAATGTTGGTTTTCAAGCGGCCATTCTTTTTTCACAATTGTAAAACTAAAACATTTTGTGAATTTTTCTGTCAACGTAGATAGATAGATAGATAGATAGATTTATAAAATTTCAAAAAAATCAACATTTCTTAAGGTTAATATAAGACTTACCATTCTCTCCTGTATTGAGAGCAGCAGAAGCAACAGTTGTTTCTCCGTCATTAAAACGAACACCCCAACGGAAAGGGACATGAAAGCCTAATAAAGAGTCTGACTGATGTGTGTATTTTTGATTTTTTAGTAATAAAATTACAAAGTCAGAACTGAATCACATTTTCCCAAAACTTTATTTGCCAAAAAATCTTTAATGTATGATGACTGAAGGTGGAATCTTTTCTTCTGCCTTGTGCATGGTCTTAAAATGATATACTAGAAGAGTTGGCAAATAACATGTTTACAGTAACAAGCAAATGAGAATGCAAGAAAAGGGACTGAATTAAACACTTTAAACGACAAAACCTTTCATGGAGGCTCACTTAAAAATATGCTTACATTTCCTTTAATATATAAAATGAATGTCCAACAAATCTAAGAATTTAAACACAAGTTGATTTCTCTAATCTAATTTGGTTAGGTTTCCTCCAAAAAGTCAAGAAAAACTTAAAAAAACTTTATACTTACTGCACATGGTTACTGACACTGTCCCGATACCCTGAAAAAAAATATCTAAAATTAACAATAATAAATATAAAGTCATTCTTGGTGTTAATCAAATATTAAAATATTAATTCGCATGTATTTCAAATTGACCCAGTGGAGAATAAAATATGTAGGGGTAGTGCCTCAAAAATGCATGAATTAATTACTTGCAGAAATTTCCAAAACTTATAAAAGCGCCTTAAAACACCATCTCAATGTAAAGTTTGGTTCAATTGAAGTACCGGACCGACTTAACGGCACCTCTTGAGCAAGTTGTGAACTACTACTAGTACAGTTTATATACATAAACTATAAACGCGGCATTACTGGACAGTATAATAATTCAGAAATTATTCTGGTCTTTAATGTATTCTGTACAAAACTGTGTTTTACGTTCGAATTTTAAAACAACATTGTGATTACTAAAAATCATTAAAACTTAAATCTCAGACAATTTTTCTATTTATGAAATTCTACGTGAAATCTTTAACATTTCAAATGAAAAATTAATTTTTGCAGAAAACGGGCCCCTGATTTTTGTGCCAATTAATATTTCTTTCAAATAATGAATTTCGATATATTCTGAAGGAAAAAGTGGACACATGACAAGACTTATTTTACAATGATTTACAATTGTAAACTGAGAGAATCTAAGAAGTTTAAAAATAAACTTTGCTATTTAATTTAAAACATATGTTACATTATCATTGAAAAGAACTCCACAACTCCTCTGAACTCCTATAGCAATAGCAGCACCTATTGAAAGCTGCAGATTTTGGACCTAAAGCAGTATGCCATTAGATTGGAATATTACATTAAATTATTTGAAAATTTAGTTATTTTTTTACAAATGAAAAGTCAGTTAGAAAAAGGATGAAGACATTTTTTTAAATCACTTGGGAATTTTCCGTTTCCAGGTTTAACTACAGTGAGAACCAGAAAACTAGAAACTAAAGACGACTTTTAGACTCAAGTTATGACTTTAAATATTCCATGAAACATTACACATAGCAAATGTTCAGTGTTAACAGATTCATTTCACTAAATAAGAGATATAATAGTATTTTGAAAAGCTATTTCCTTTGTAACAACGTCAAGTACACTTAAAGGGACAGACCGTCTATGTAAGGTAATTAAACTGCATATGCAGTGTTGTGGAAAAATTCTTTTAGATTCATTTAAGACATATAAAACGTTTCAAAGATGTATAATTACTGAGTTTGATTCATTTGAGACATATAAAACGTTTCAAAGATGTATAATTACTGAGTTTGTGTGCAGAGTCGACGTTCAAAATCATGAATTTAGGGAGTAACGTTTTCAGAAATAAAAATATGTAAAAATTATACAGTAAACTAATATTAGATGGTTTGGAACATATTTCTCATCAGTAATAGAATAAATCAATGATAGAATCAATTATTTCGTTTTCATCATTATATTGAATTTCTTATTTTCTATGAATTCAGTCGCAGATTTATACAAATTCTTCAAATGTGGTCTTTTCAATAAAAATTCCAGAAAATCTGCAGAAAATCTTTGTGCAAAATGAGAGATTATAGAAACAATAATTAAATAAGATTACTTATTTTCGATGATAAGATTAATTTTTATTTTCTCAACTTGTTCCTAAACAATTTATAAGTTTACTGTAGAATTTTGTTTACATTTCTTTGTCGTCGTTATTTAATAATTAAAAAAAAAACAATTCTGAAAACATATCCACCCAAAAGTACGATTTTGAACGTCGACTTATATGTCTCAATTGAATCCTAAAGAATTTGTCCACAACACTGCATACTCAGTTCAACTACCTTACATAGCCAATCTGCATTACTATAAAGTCTTCCACCTATTCCAAAGTTATCTGGTTATCACTGTACCTGTATGGAAGAATTTACATGTTCTTTACCTCAATGTAATCAGAAAATATAGCAATTCCCGTACAGGTAGTTCCTGTTGCAGACTGAGCTGCGGCATTTGGACTAGCACTAAAGTAAAAGAAAATAAGTTTAAAACCTCCAACATGAATTTGATACTGAAACCTGGGGGGTAACATTTAAAAAATATTAAACAATATAATATATTGAATGAATTGTTAAAAAATTGTGATGTTAGCCTATAGTAAGGTCCCCAATATGTCTCATAAAAAAGACATTGAAAACTTTCACTTTTTATCTTCATAATTTACCATGGTTTGCATGTTGATTGTGGACGGATATACCCTTCATTTATAGTGGGGCAAAGCCGATTTACAATATAACCTTTAAACCTTTGTTTAGGATAAACTGAGAATTTTCTATTTTTCTATCTAAGAATTGATTTTTTTAAACGGATTATCTGTAAGCGACTTGCGGATGTATGCAGTGGGATATCTGCCTCATTGTTGCTTAATGCTAAGAAAAAAAGGTACCATTGTGAATCAGACAACAAAAAATAATTGGAGGTTCGTTTGAAATTAGAAGAACAGTCCCTTTAAGTGAATAAATACCTGACAGCAAATGAAGAGGCTGTTGTGCTTGGATTTACTGGATCAAAACAAATTGAACAAAATCCTCGTTCCTGTCTGGACATAAAGGACGTTTGTTAAAGATTTTAGAAATCACAACTTCATTATTTGGTCAGTCAAAATCTATATCTACATTGCTAAAAGCTTATTTTCAATTTTTTAAAGAAAATATCATTGTTTTATCCTTTTCAAAATATTTTAGCAAATTTTGACATAACAATACAGTTACATCTGTGTTTCGTGGTTTTAGAACCACTACTACTCTTTATATAGAAAACTCAGCAGCAACACGATCGCAGATATTAACAGGTCGAAGGAACACGTTTAATGCTGAAATATAACATATTATAATGGTATATATAAATAAAACATATAACAGTCAGAAATAACAATAATAATATAAATTTCATACCAATACGCTCAGTGAAGCTCTGATAGTTCCTATGGTGATGGCTATACTGACTTAATTGCCAAACCAATTGTAAATAGAAAACTAATCTGAGCCGACACTTGTTTGTCAACAAAAAACTGGTTTGTGTTTAGCTTGTCTTAATATGAAGGGGGGGGGGGTAGGGTATCTGAGCACTTGAACTGCAGTACAGTAATAGAGATCAAAATACAAGAGATGACACTTCTAATCCTTCATCTGGTTCGGAAACATCTCTAACTCCGTGAAACAATCTGGATCAGACAAATTCTATTAAGGTTTAAATAGATTTGATAAATGACAGTGTACATTCAGCTTTCAGAAAAGCGACAACTAGGTCTTGCTAGGCCCTTCTAAAAGTATTTTGAGATACAGGGTGAGAGAGAGAAAATGGCAAACTAGATAAACTTTAGCCAGGGGTGTATATGGGAGGTATACATTCCTGCACAAAAATGGAAAAGAAAAAAAACAGAACTACAAGTAACATTAAAGGCCTGCATAATGTATTGACCTGAATAATGGATGTTTCTTACCTAGCTGGATCCAGGTTTTGCTACTGACAGCTTTAGATATAATGCAACCCCTTCATTCCTCATAGGGACCCAGAGCTTAGATGTAACCAGTGTGAGCTCAATAGCTCGGAATAGTGATATAACCCCTTCAGTTCTCATACGAAGACGTAGCTAAACTTAGAGTGGATAGTTCTATTGTTGTAACCCCTTCAGTCCTTATACGGACCCAGAGCTAAGATGTAACCAGTTTGAGCTCAATAGCTCTGAATAAGGATAGTTAAATTGATATAACCAATTCAGTTATCATATGAACCCAGAGCTAAACTCAGAGTGGATAGTTCTATTGATGTAGCCCCTTCAGTCCTCATACAGATCCGTAGCTAAGCTCGGATTGCAAGCCGCTGTTGGAATAGGAATTACATTTTATAAGTTTGAATTCAAGCCAATAGACATGGATACGGCTTGCCATAAGGCAGAAAGAAAATAGAATTGACCTGGGCTAAAATTGAAACAGAATTAGTGTTCAGGATGGAATCCGAAGATGGAAGATTAACTTGTTGTACGAGGCAAATGAAAGGCGGAGAGTCCGTCAGAGAGCTTCGGCTTTCCATGATTCATTAGTATCATTTTCATTTGTTCATTTTTACTTGTAAATACATTTTTTTCTATACTCTGTAGATTTACTCACATCAGTTTTCAGGCTTTAGATTTCCTTTATTTCATACCATCTTTATATGGTAACAATTCTTCTTAAGAACAAGCCTAGTTAGCTGTTATTAGGTATTCACACTTGTTAGAACGACATTAATTCTTTCGATTGAATCTGGTTCTATGTGTAAGCATCAAGGGAGCTCATAACAGTTGGTTTCTTATACAACTCTCTCCTGTTTCTTGCGGCTGAACAGAACCCTGTGTGGAATAAAACACCCTATTACTTGGAAAAAATAAAATAATAGTGTAGAGAAGGAGGGGTTTCTCTATGCTTCACTTTCCCCTCCCTCATTCCAGAAACAAGGAAAATGGAAACATATAGAAAGTAGAATCCTGATACTGGTTTATACTTTGCCGGCTGGCTGTGCAGAAAAGATTGTTGTAGATGAGGCTAAATTCTGAAGAACTGTCTGAGAAGAACTTACAAGAATCAAGAATTCTTTTTTCGAAAATATCCACTCCTAGCCTAACCTTTCTAATCCTATCTCTCATTATTAATGCAGAATTCTGACAGTGGATCATCAGAAATTTAAAATCCCACTTAGCAGTGACTTTTATTTTTCCAACCTGTATGATCATAATTCCGCAGCATAACTTGTCGGAGAAATTTGACACCTCTACATGCAAAACAAAAAGTAATATGCGTAACAATAGGGAGAAAGAAAATCAGAAATATGTGTCAAAATGCATGTTTCCCTTGTATACAAGGGAATAGAATGTGTATATCTAAAAGAGAGGAACAGAAAACAGATGTATGATCAGGATACAACAGTCAGGGAAACACATTCTCTGCTCTTTTTAAAATTTTGTGTAAAGGAATTGTTTGAAAAGGTTTGATAAATGTGATAATTGTACTATATATAAATAAAGTCTTACATAATTTTAAAAAGTTTTTAAGAAATGTTTACTAATTCATTATGTCAGAAGATCTAAATCAATTTTAAGTTCAAGCTACCAAGTTTTGAAACAAGTTTCAATAATTTCTTAGTATACAGTGGACTCTATAAAGCTGTAGAAAAGGAAGACACTGTAATCTTTTATTTTTTATAGTTTAATACACTTAAAACCCACACTTTGCATTAACTATAGTAAGCAGATTTCATGGTATTCTGGTAAAATTGTTTCTTAAAACATCGAATACAAAAAAAATTGCATTGTTCCACAGTTATTATGGAATGTAGTAAAAAAGGGAGGGAGGGTAGGCACAAGAGAAGGTTTATATATGGAGAGGGAGGGAGGGTAGGCACAAGAGAAGGTTTTTATATGGAGAGGGAGGGAAGGTAGGCACAAGAGAAGGTTTAGATATGGAGAGGGAGGGAGGGTAGGCACAAGAGAAGGTGTATATATGGAAAGGGAGGGAGGGTAGGCACAAGAGAAGGTTTATATATGAAGAGGGAGGGAGGGTAGGCACAAGAGAAGGTTTATATATGGAGAGAGAGGGAGGGAAAGCACAAGAGAAGGTTTATATATGAAGAGGGAGGGAGGGTAGGCAGTAGGCACAAGAGAAGGTTTATATATGGAGAGGGAGGGAGGGAAGGCACAAGAGAAGGTTTATATATGGAGAAGGCGGGAGGGAAGGCACAAGAGAAGGTTTATATATGAGTGAAGGGGGCATAACATTTAATTAAAGAAATGTATTTTTAATACTATCTGTACCTGAAGCATATATTATAGTTCTGATTGGACAAGTGCGTGTTGGCACCCAAGACCGCGTTACTTTTAGAACTGTCATAGTTGAAGTTTTTAATAGTTCCAGAGGTTCCAGTCAAATATTGAAGACAGTCATCAACTAAAAAAATTCTGGGATCAAATTTATAAAATGGGTGAAAACGTTTAACTATATACCTGACCCAGTGCACAAACTTTTAATGAGCAAGTCAAAGTTTAGATTTTCTTAGAATATTTATTTCACATTTATTGATTTTTATTAGTCAATAAAGATAATTAGCCCTGTAAATTACAGTTTTTAATTTACTGCTACAGAAGAAATGATATTTTTGATTCTTAATTTTTTTCTAATTGTTTATTATCTGACAATGTAAAGTAAAATGATCAAAACAGAGAACTGTAAGTGTAAGTTAAAGGGATAGAAAGTAGATAGATAGATAGAACAACGACGACCTCTGCCTCATTTTTGCTCAAGCAAAGGTTCAAAGGAAACCACTGTGAATCGGACATTACAAGCCCCCATGGGGTCCCTTAAAATGACCTCTACAGTCCAAATAATTCAAAAAAAAGATTGGATTAAAATTGTTTTACCTATTCCTGGGACATTACTTCCACAATCATACTGAGTAACCTTTACTCTCCAGCTCCTGCTCACTGAATTGGCTGTGTCTATTGAATAAACAAAAACTTTAAATAATTTCAAAATTTTATTTAAAAATCGGGGGGGGGGGGGCAATTTTGACGAATTTTTTAAAACAATTTTGGCTGAGAATCAGGGGCGTATAAATAGTTTTGTCCAGGGGGGGTAACATTTTTACCTTTCAAGGGGGGGGCTCAGTCTTTGTCGGGGGCAAACCCCATGAAAATCATAGTTTTCACCTTTCCAGAGGAGGAGGGGGGATGGGTTAGCTTATCCCCAGGGATATAGGAATTTGTCTTACCAATATTGAAGGAAAGTTTATTACAGGAAGAACTAGAATCCACAAACATATGTTGTCCAGTGTTTAGTCCACAGATGGTAGGAGGGGCTGACCCACCGTCAGGTGCAGTTACTGCATCAGATTTATACTTAGTCAGGGGTATTAAGGAGGCTGTCATTGTTTAAAGGGGCAGACTGGCTTGTAGGGTAGTTGAGCTGAGAGTGCAGTATTAAAGAGAAAAATATTAGGATTTAGCTACACTCGGATAAATAAAGCCCGGTTTAAATAATTACATTTATTAACTGGTAAAAGTACAAATTTTAGTTTGAGTTATTAAAATTATATTAAGGTGACGTGGCAGTATTTGAGTACGTCCTGCCGCGTTCGAATATCCGGTTTCCTTGTTGTATCGTCTTCTGCCACAGTACTCCCCCCAAGAAGGAAAGGCGGAGTCACGGCGGAGCAAGGGCTTCTTTCCTGCCTTGTCTGTGAGGATTCCTTCTTGGTATAATTATAGGTTGAGTTAGGAATACTACAGACTTCTTCTTGGAGGCGGATGACTTCGCGGCGGATGATTGATCAGGAGGATCTTTGGATTGTCGAAGAGGAGGACGTCCTCGAGGCGGAGGGGCAGCAGGAATCACTGGAGAGTCTGAGAACACAGGCTTAAGACGGTCCAAGGAAACTGAATCTATCCTAGCACCAATCTGGAGGCGGAAGAATTTACTCCGCCGTTCTATAACCAGGTAAGGACCACGATATAGAGGACTGAGTGAAGGTTTGCTTGCATCTTCTCTAACGAACACGAACTTGGCGGTCCTGAGAGCTGTAGGAACCTCAACTGGAGGCGAATGCTGAACATGATGGGGGGGAGGAGTTGAAAAACCGGCAATAACTTTCTCCACCTTGCTGATGAACTGTGAACTTGGAATTTCTGGAGCTTCTAAGAATTCACCAGGAATCGTCAGGGGAGAACCGTATACTGCCTCTGAGACGGAGAAACCAGTGTCTTCTTTGGGAACCGAACGGAGTCCTAATAAAACCAGAGGCAGATGAGAAACCCAGTCGGAGTCAGCAGCTCTGGCTCGGAGAGAAGACTTGAGGGATCTGTGAAACCGTTCAATCATGCCATTTGACTGTGGATGAAAACTTGTTGTCTGAGAGGTAGAAATGCCGAGGATTCGACAGACTCCGGCCCACACAGAGGACATAAACTGAGCTCCTCTGTCTGAAGTTAATGTTGCTGGAACTCCGAATCTTGAAATCCAGGAGGAGATAAACGCTCTCATGCAGGCCTCCGTGGAAATGGAAGACAAAGGAACAGCTTCTGGCCAGCGTGTGGTTCTGTCAATCATGGTTAATAAATAAGAGTAACCCAGACTGGACGGTAAAGGACCAACTATGTCTATGTGAACGTGAGAAAACCGTCTCGAGGGAACAGGAATCGCTGGTACAGAAGCTTTCACATGTTTCTGTATTTTGCTTCGTTGACACTGGAGGCAAGATCTGGCCCACACTCCTACATCTCGAGATAAACCAGGCCAGACGAAACGAGCGGAGACTA